CATCTCGTTTTCTTCTCCTTGTAGCTTGCTGCGTCCGTTTTCTTTCCCCCTTTCTCTCACTCTTTTTCACCCCCCTTTCTCGCGCTTAAGCTCTTTTTTTTTTTAGTCTTGCACTCGCTTCGATTCGTTCTATCTATCTTATGTGATATTATTGATAATCGTTTGCGATTGCGCTAGCAACGAGACGCAAGACGATATTAGAGCTTTTCTTACTTTCTAGTGATTGCTCGTGGACGAGGAGGGGCCGACTGGCGTAGTCTACGAGGCGGTCTCAGCTGTGAGAACAGGGATGCATCTTCCCTGAAACAAAAGAAAATTCGAGGCACGGATTAATATACGTCTCGGTAGTACCGCGAGTTCGATGATGAATCGTGGTCGAAAATCGAAAGGCGGCTGAATCGTGGTATCCACCGTTGAAAGCGGTGAAGAGATTGAACGGAATGTCGCGTGATCTATTCGACGAGGCTTTGAACGAACGAGAGTTTTTGACGAAACGTACGTTGTTTAAAAATAACGAATCTCGAACATCAGGACCCTCCTTATACACCACCCAGTTTCTGGCCGCCACGAATTCGTTGGTTTAACGCCAGAATTGTTCGTTATAGAAAGAGAGACTAATGACTATCGTGTACCGTGTATTCGGGCGGCGTAGAATCGACAGGCGATGTTGGGCGCGTTACGCGGGATCGCATTAGCTCGATTAGGAAAATTTCCACGAGCGGCGAAGAGGCGTGAGTGAAGTGAAAATCGTTTCGATGATTTATCTTACGATCGTTTCGCTCGTTCATTCGTTCGATCGAACGGCCGAGCTGCAACGACTATGACCAGCCAAAGTGTACACCTGCTATACTCGCGTCGCTTCGTTTATTAACCAACCATTCAAACGCCTCTTCCTCGAACCTTAATAGGTTCAACGGAGATTGGATTTGATTCACGATCTAATCATCGAGAGAATAAGTCGAGTAAATCGATCCTCCGCGTGACGGGGATACGCGATATCGTAAGAGTATACATTTTCGGCGCAACGCAATACCTTTGAATATAACGCGGACACGATTCTACGATCTTTGTTAACGATATCTTGCCACTTCCTTCCTTCCTTGCTTCCTTCCTGTTTTTCTTTTTATTAAGAACTTGGAATTAAAAAAAAAAAAAAAAAAGAAAAAAAAATATGCATATCGATGCATCTTCCTTTTCGACCTATTCGTACTTACGGCGACGATTCGGTGACGCAAATGCGAAAATCTTGGTTATCTTACGATTGTCACGGATCGTAATGGTTTGTTGTTTGAAGAGAGGTTGAAAATCGAGGAGAAAAAATTAATCGTCTTAGAGTATTTCGAGATAATAAAAGATCGCTGATATTCGTGCGGAGAAGGTATACGGTGTACGGTACGCGGTGAGAGATATACGGTACGCGACTAAATCGGTCGAGATGATACGCGGTCGCTTTATGAGCACGCGCGATCGGCTATGCGCGAGAAATGCGTCAAGAATGCGCGAAGAACGCAAGAGGCGAGCCCCCAGCATCGCGAGTTCCGATTGGTCCCGATTAGTCCCGATTAGTCCCGATTAGTCCCGAACGGCTCGCATTGTTACACGCGTCATAACGCACTGCTACAGACACTCGGCTTATACCCGTGTTACAGATTCGAACTTACTCTCATTCCCCGCCTCCAGCTTTCCGTTTTGCTTGTCAACTCCTCTAACCACGATAAGCCGCGAATTATCCCATTCTTCGCAACTCATTCCTACATCGTTCGCACACGCTACATTCGATCGGTCAAGGACACGATAGTACGATTTTTATCCAATTTTATTCTTTACAACGAAAAAAACTCGACCTATCGCATCAATCTTATGCTTATGTATTTGCGATTCCATAAAAGTATAATATCGCGAAAAATATATTTCTCTTTGAGATCTGTCGAATAAATAAAAAAAAGAAAAAGAAAAAAAAAACAAGACAAGAGTTTCTATCTTCGTTTCGGTTGATATTTTAAGATCAAGTATCACGAGTGGATTTGATGGAGGTGACAAATTGCACATGTCTCGTTATCCATAGCAAAGAGAGTATCGTGATATGCATGATACCTTCACGACGAAAAACCATGCGTTGGGATTGGTCGAAGAAAGAACGAGGAAGGGAAGGCAAAGGGAGTGTAAAGCCAATTGCGCGTAAGAAGTCTTCGAGTTTAATAGCGATATGCCGCGACCAAATGAACGTTGCTGTAACGACAATCATTCTATTGGCTATTTTTAGATGGAAATAGGTCGGAGCGGAGGGCTCGCGGTATCGAGAGGACACACGGTGACGATGATGACAATAATGACAATCAGAAAGGAGCAAAAATTTTGTAATGCATTTCTTCTGATTCTCGTTCGATCGAATTATCAAACAGAAAGATACCATGTATACATACTATATGACAAAATGGAAGATTAAGATATATAGACAATGAGCAACATACAATTATCTATCATTACGACTGTGTACAAAATATAATGAAGAATTAATTCTTATTCGCGTAATAAAACTGTTATTATTATTATTAGATAATTCAATAATGCACGTTTTACTTAAAACATTGCAATATAACTGCTGTATATCTGCAACTTGCGAAATATGAAAACGCACGTTTCGAATAATCGGCAATATCTATCTCTTCTTTTTTTTCACGATTCGAACTAAATATTTATCAATGAACGTGACCCAATTGGTCAACGTCCACGTCAATCGATTAACCTTGACAATTTTACCGAATATTTAAAATAATCTATATCGATTACGGAATATACGCAAAAGATTATCGAATCTTAAAAGATTATTTCTCTCAATTTTAAAATCGTGCGTTTATTTGTATGTCCTGAAATATTAAAAATAATTTTAGTAAATATGTAAAAATCAAAATTATTTTTTAAAATTAAAAAAAAAAGTCGTTCAACTTTAATTCTAATTCAAATCTAATAATTTCGATTTCTATATTGATCATGTCTTATGATTATCGTCATATTTATACATGATGAAATAATTAAGAAAAAACATATATCATATAGCAATATGCACGAAAATTATTATTTATATGTATTTTTTTTATGTTTGTTATCTTACAATATAACTGCATATACATATTATTAAAATATTTCTATATGTATTCTTTATTCTCTAATGTTTCTTTATTCTATAATATATTTTCTATTCAAATATGAAAAATCATTGAAAATATTAGTGCTTCCATCTTTTAAGGATATAAAATAACAAAATACATAGATCATTACTGATATTGGTAGTAGGCAACGACGGTCTTGGTCGATAATACGAACATGAAACGACTGTTGGTAATATGAAGCTTTCGATGCACGACGAAACAAAAGAATAGATTTACGCAATAAAGAAGTATACCTCGATCATGGATCGATGAATCAAATTCATTCATTAGCATTTAATACTTCAGAATAACATTTTTTACGCATAAGAAAACCGAATATTTCGAATCGGTTTCTAAGAATACTTGTTTTAAATTTGACCGCATTTGAGCGATGTGGCGTGTGCATCAGCACGTATGCCGAAATATGTTCTATGTTAAGAAATAAAGTTGAATTGTATTTAATTGTACCGAATCGCATTTTATATGATTAAAAGAATAAAAAAAAAGGATTAGGCATAAATTTATGAATTCCTTATAAATAAAAGGAGACAAAATATTACTTTAATAATCTATCTTTGTTTCTTATTCATCGTAAACATGATTGACATAAGTCCATTTCTTTCGACGATTGAAAATCTGTATGATCGACGCATAGATAAATCATTGCTTAAATTTCTCGGATGAATCTATTTCAAAACAGCTATTATGGAAAATTTTTGTCGCTATTACGACTCGTCGATAACGTCTAATCACAATAATTCTGATATACCAAGACCAATTCACAGGGAAGGAACAAAATAATAAAACGCAATTGCGCGAGCCCCCGATTATTTCATTGCATGCTGACGTCAAATTATTCGTCGACCAATCATCAAGCTTGCGTATCGATGAGCCCCTCGCTCGAAAAATCGACGAACACGCGTATCATTTCCTCACAATTTTAATGGTCACGTTTTTCAATGACGCGTTAGCAAATTTAATGATAAAGTTTATGATGTCAAATATTTCCTAATATTGTTCGTCATCGATTGCTTTCGATTTGATCGAAAAAATTGAAGAATCAAATTTATGAATCTATTTTTTTGAGAATTAAACAACATTATTGAATGCATTTATGATTGAAACTAATATAACATTCATTTTTCCGATTTAATCATTGTTATTGTTATTGTTTATTCTATGTTTAAATATTATAATCATAGAAAAAGAGAAAATAATATGAAATTTAAATCATTAATTAAACGAAATGAAGATACAAAGAATTTCATTTTTTTGGTTGAGGTTCTCTTACGATTAAAACCGAATAGTGACGTTGTATCATTGTAACATGTTTTTCTAGCGTTTTTTATGCATTTATAAATTAATTTATATTGTTACAAATACAAATTAGATGCAAATTTACTTATCAAAACTTTAACGTTTATTTTTGATTTTACTTTATAATTTTTTCATTTTAATTTGTACTTATATATAAAAGAATTTGGTAGTTATAACGAAACGCATGATAAGTCCTATATGTATCTAATAATAATGAAGAGTAAAAAAATGATGCCGAACAATGATGCTCTTCATCATGATCGATAATTGTGAATTGGTTCCTGAAAGAGATAAGACATAGCATTGGAAGAAAAGAATTAGGCTATCAAATTGATTTGATAGCAATTGTGATTTCGAATCGTATTCGACGTCAATGAAATTTTTTTTCTATTTTTTACATTTAAAAATAAGAAGAATCCTCGATATTATTCTAAAAAGAAAATACAATACAATATGTCTATCTATAGAACTCTATGCATCTTGATATAATATTTATACAGATATATATAGCAATATGTTACAACTTATAATTTTAAATGAACATTCATTGCGTTACAAAGTTAAAAGAATTAAAAATATTATTTTTTTTTTTTGATTAAATTAACGCCAACAAAGCATTTTAATAGTTTTTCTTAATTATATGAATCAAAAATTTTGTTATACAAATTAATAATTATACGCACTGAAGTTGCCGCGAATAAAATTGCAACGTCAGTAAGCACACATCTCATTCTCATTCGAGATTGTACAAAGTCTCCTAGCGTGTCTCATTACGTCACAAGAATTAAAATAACTTGCTTGAAACTAAATGATCAAAGTTTCATCACAACCATAACATCATACAAAATGATATCGCCATTGAAATGCGTGGAGAAACCGGTAAATCTAATATATATATATACTTGATAGTATGACCTTTTGAACTTGGCATCGATACTTGAACAGCACGATATACGTAGAAAAATCATAGTAAATGTGTGTATTAAATGGTGTAATGTTATAATAAGAAAAATTCTCAAATAGATAGATTCAATGAAGAATATAATCGCATTATTCTTATAATGAAAACAAATCATAAATCATTGAATAAAAATAGAAAACTGCAATTGAAGAGTATTAAGAAAAAGGAAAAGGAATGAGATCCGCTGGGGATCGAGCCTCTTGGCCGATGACCAGTTGAACCAATAGTAAGACGTCTCGGAACCAACGCCTACCAATTCAACCAATCGCAGATTAACTTTTCCGAAGGCGCGTCATATGTATCCGCTTTTTCTGATCATTGAGAACCAAACATCATTGACTCTTGATGAAATGACGCATGATTGAATAAATTTTTTATAATCTTTCTTTTCAATATCTATCTAGATTTCTTTTAAATTTATATTGAGATAAAAAAATTTTGATTTATATTATTCGATTAATTTATTTCATCATGCGATTAATGCATTTTTGCTTTAATTAGTTTTAATTAATTTTGCTTCTATTATAATTAAATATATGATAAAACTACATTCATGGGGGAGTCGCTACAGAATAAATTCATAATATTATAACACAAAATCTAATAATACCATTAGACGACCCTCTAACTTACTTTGAAATCAATTTTGGCAACTGCTCAATTGTGACATTGCCATACTAACATTATAACCTAACATTACTTAAGACAATGCAAAATTTCATTTAAATCGATTTAAACTATATAGATCGATTGGTTGATAAATGGATTTCGTTACGGAACGATTATTAATTTTGCTGGAAAAAATTTAATTTTTAATAATATTTCAATATATCTCTATATTCATCAACATCATTTTTTTTCTTCTTTTATTATCTATTCTATGAATTACACACTACCAAAACGAAAAACATTTCAATGTGACCTGGAGGAAGGAGGGAGTAGTAAACGCGCGCAAAATGCGAAATACCAAATTCAAGGCTATCTTTCATTTTTATTTTCTATGAAAAAGACATATGCGTATCAATATTAAATTAGTGATGATTATATAAAATATTTTTGTTCGCCTAAAGTCACTTATATAAAATTAAAAACAAATTTCATATCAAACTTTTAAAGTTTTTAAATTTTGTCTCGTGTATAAAA